ATAGGTCACTCTGGCTGAGATAGAGATTCAATCACTTGGGCAGTCTCTCCAGAATCCTTGGGGGATTCCTGGCTTATGGAAGTTGCCTTAATTGTCAGCATAGGGACCCCTCCAGGACCACAGTCCTCATCTCCATCCTCCCCACCATGTGTGGCACGGTGCCGTAGCAGGTGAGAACTACGGGTAAAGCCACGACCACAGTGCTCGCACCGGAAGGGCCGGTCCCCAGTGTGGCCACGGTAATGTTGTGCCAGGTTGGAGCTATAGCGGAATCCACGCCCACAGTCTGGGCAGCGGAAGGGCTTCTCACCAGTGTGAACACGCTGGTGCTGGACCAGCCCTGAGCTTTGACCAAAGCCTTTGCCACACTGACTACAGCGGTATGGTCGCTCCCCACCATGACCACGCTGGTGGCGCCGCAAGTTGGAGCGGTGGCCAAAACCCTCCCCACACTGGGTGCAACGGAATGGCTTCTCACCACCATGCTGGGCTGCCCGGTGACGGGCCAGTGCCAGAGCCTGAGGGAACAGTAGACCACAGTCAGCGCAGGAATGGACAGGGGGGGGGGGGGGGGGGGGTCCTGTGTGATGGGCTTTTCGGTGTGCCACGAGGCGAGGGTGCTGGCTAAAGCCACGTCCACATTCCCCACAGAGGTATGGTGTCTCTCCAGTGTGTGTCCGAAGGTGGCGGGCAAGATTGGCGCTCTGAGTGAAGCGCTTGCCACATTCAGGACAGGGGAAAGGGCGTTCACCCGAATGGGACTTCTGATGTCGGATGAGACTGGGGTGGCGGCCAAAGCCTCTGCCACAAACAGCACAGATATATGGACGCTCACCTGTGTGGACAGTGGCATGCTGCAGGAGCCCAGAACTCTGGGAGAAACCCTTGCCACACTGGCCACATCGGTAGGGGGGCTCAGGTAGATGTGTACGTCGGTGTCGGGCCAAGTGGGAGCCATGGCGAAAGCTTCGACCACATTGACCACAAGAATAGGGTCGGTCGCCTGTGTGGGAACGCAGATGCAAGGCCAAGTGGGCACCCTGGGCAAAGCACTTGCCACATTCAGGGCAAGGAAAGGGGCGCTCGCCAGAGTGGATCAGCCTATGGCGCGAGAGGTGGGAGCGTCGCGAGAAGCAGGAACCACATTCAGGGCAGGAAAAGGGCTTTGGGGGTGGGGGTGGGGATGCTGGGGGTGGGGGCAGGGCTGGGCCCCGGGGGGGGGGCGGGGGGGGGGGACCCCCCCAGGGCGGGGGGTGGGTTGGGGACTGATTCTGCCTCCTCTTCTTCCTTGGTCCTCATGCCTGTGAAAGAGATAGTGATAAAATGAAGAAAATGAGGAAGGAAACACAGAGGAAGAAGGGGACCTTGTGGTAAACTAGAGAAAGATGAGGGTTCAATCCCTATGGAAGCTGCTCTGCTCCCCTCTCTGCTAGATAGTATTCCTGAAGGGTTTGGAGTGGACCAGGACACCTCACAGAGCAGTTGGTATTCTTGGAGGCAGGAGGAGGAAGGGATGAGGGGCAGAGGTTAGCCTTCTCTACTGACAGCAATGGTAGGGACTTTGGTGATTCCTGCCAATTACTGGGAAGCAAAAGTATAGTTTAGTCTAGTGAGGAGGTGGGAGGTGGACCTCTATTCTTGGGGCAATGTGATACAGTGGGAACAGCAATGGTTTTGGCATTGGAGAACCTCAAGACTCCATCTCCTACCACTTTCTAGCCCTTTGACTTTGGGCAAGTAGAGTCTCCTCTCTAGACCTGTTTTGTCCCCTGTATAATGAGGTTAGACTAGGATATTTCCAAAGCCCTTTCAAGCTCTAAATCCTGGACCTGATGATTCCCTCTCTGGGGTATGAGGAGGATGTGAAGGGTGAAGGCAAAAGAATCTTTTCCCTGCTGGTTACTCACCTGCATAGGGATCTTTTGGAACTCCCCTTTCTTCAGACTCCTGAGACCCTGGACCCCATGGCTCAGCCCCGTGCTCCAGGTGGGTGATCAATTCTGGTTTGGGGATCGGAAATCCTGGGGCAAGAAAGAACAAGATTCGTTATTCTGTCTAAAATATTTTCTCCTCCCAGCCCCTCCTCTAGCTGAATCCTAACCATTCTTCATTCTTCAGCTCAAGTTTCTTCCTCCATGAAGCCTTTCTTGACCACTCAAGATTGCTGTGATTTATTCCTCAGGAATCTTGCACTTACTGTCTATCAGAAGGTACTTAGCATACATCTCATGTACTGTCAGCTTCTGTAGGTCTCATCTCCCCAAATGGGCAATAAGACACCTTTTTGGTGTGTTCTTGTATCCTCTGCATCTAGTACAGATACTTGCAAATTAAAAGTGTTTGATAAATATCTGATTGCTAGCTTCAGGAAGACTCAGGAGATGGGGAAGCAGGATGCTTGAGGGTGAATAGAGACGAGAGGGTTAAGGACCTCTAGGAGGGGTGTAAAATGCTGGCATTCTATGCAGGGAGTTCAGAGATATTATCTCTCAATTTAACATTTAAATTAATTCAATATCCCTTGTAGAATGAATGTCAGAATCAGGGTGGTATTTTTTTTTTTGGTGGTAGGGGGAGTTACTCACCCAAGGAGATGAGGTTCCGGTAGCTCTCCCACATGACATCTCCAAAATACACAGCCATATCTGTGAAAGTCACTGGCATAGGAGGTGGGGGATGAAGGTGAAGAGTGGAAGACAATGAGGGGGAAGGGTGAGAAAAATGAGAAGTAGAGAGTAGAGGAGGATGGGAGGATGTGGGTGACATAGGAGCTGGAGGAGAAGGGGAGGCACAGGGACATGGGGAGGAAGGGGAAGGGCAGGGGGAAAGGGGGACTGTAGGCTGAGCCAGGGTGGAGTAAGAGGGGAGCGGGACCAGGAAGAAAGGAAGGGCCACTAGGAAATTAGGTTTGATGAGGAAGGAGGAAAGGGACACTGGCTCTGGAACCAAAACAGAGAAGAGATAACTCCACCACTTCTCTCTTCTCATGCATGTCTAGTCCTTTTCCCCACTCCTTTCTCTACATCGTCCTGCCCCTCCCCTCACGCCCACCTCTTGAGATTTCTTCCAGGCACCATGAAGTTAGCAAGTTCAGACTGCTGTCGGTCACCAGGCTCAGACTAAGCAAACAACGTCTCAGTTCTCAGAGGGGTCCCATCTTCCCTTCCCCTAGCACAATAGAAACACCACACCTCCCAGATCAGGGACAGAGGAAAAGAAGGCAAGCTGGGGGAGTCAGGAACAAGATGCCTGGGGAGGTAGTTAGAGGCAGGTTGCAGGGTTAGAGGATAGGAACTTGGATGACTTATTAGGAAGCCTGGGGACTGGGAAAGTGCTGCCTGGGTTTGATGTTGGGGGGCTGGAGGAGTATATGTGGTTATTAGAGGACCCTCAAAGTTAGAGAGGACACATGTAGGAGGGTCCCCGGTATTGCAGGTTTCCTGGCATTATGGGAATTGGTGATATTGGGGAAAGACTGGGAGAGTTTGTAGCATTGAGGCATTCCCAGAGGCTATAGTGAGTCTTTGGTTCTGGGGAGGCTCCCTGATATTGGATATCCGGGGTGGGGGGTTGTAGCATGGTCTCGGTATTTAAGAATCCCATAGGCTGGGGGAAGGTACAGGAATTGAGGGAGAGATCTATAGTATTGAGGGTCTCAGGGCTCTTAAGAGGGTTTTGGCATTGAGGGGCTCTAGAGACTGTAGGAAGGTTACAGTAAAGGAGCTGTGAGTCCCCTGTGTTGAGGCTCCGAAAATAGAAGGGTCCCTGTTATTGAAGTTCCCCAAGGGCCGTGGGAGTGTCCTCGAGCTGTAAGAAGATGTCTGATATTGAGGGTCGGAGGCTGTGAGAAGGTCCTGGGTATTAAGGATCAAAAGTGTCTGGGAGTGGTAGGGTCTTGGGTATTGAGAGGTGGGGATGAGTGGGAGGGGCAGAGGCAGGTCTCTGGTAATAAAGGTTTCTGGGGCTGGGGGTGAAGTTTCTAGTATTGAGAGTCCAGGGGCTGTGGGAGGGTTTCAGGAGTGGGAGAGTCCCTGGTATTGAGGGTCGGGGGTAGGGGGTCTACCGAATCGAGGATTCTGGGTCTCGGGAAGGGTCTTTACTATTGATGGTCCAGGGACAGAGGGAGGGTCCCTGGTATTGAGGATCCCATGGGGGTGGGAGGGTCCTCGGTATAGGTCTAGAGGGTGTGGGAGGATCCAGGGTCTAGGGGCTAGGGAAGACTGACGGCTGGGGTCGGGGTATTGGGGAGGGGGCCGGGCGGGCCAATTACCTGCACCACCGACTCGTCTGCCAGCAAGACAGCGGACTGAGCTCAGCCACAGGAATTTGGGGAGGGGGGGAGGGATGAGAGGAGTAGCGGAAACAGGAAGTGAGGGGCAGAGTGCCCGAAGAAGGGGCGGGGGGCCATCAGTCCCTCCCGGAGCCGTCCCCCTTCCCCACCCACTGGACTTCCCGAAGATGGGGATCGAACCCTGACACTTCTTCCAAGCTCCTGCAGCCCAGTCCTGGCTCCGGAGCCCACATTCCACCTAGCTGGTGGGAGGGAAGGGGAACAGATGATTTCCACGCCCCCCCCAACTGCCAGGGGAAGCAAAAACTACAACTCCCACAGACCCTCGGGACAGCAGCGTTCTAGGGCCAGCGATCCCCTACCCCGAGGCCTCATGGGAACCGTAGTCTTAACTACTGGCCCTATCAGGCGGCGTGGGAGGCGGAGCGCCATTGAGCTGGAGCTACCACCAAGGACAAGGAACCTGAAATAGCGGCGTTGCGGCGGCCTCTGCTAGCCAGCTCTAGTTTATTGGGGAGGCATTTGTATCTCTTCCACTTAGCTCCTGCCAGCTTTCAGATTGTATTAGCGTCCTCTCCCAACCCCGTCTCCCAAAATAAGACTAATTTTTTCCCCCCACGGAGGCAGCAATCAAAATTTTTCATGGCCCCTATTTCCCCTTCCTTCTTTGCCCCGTTCCCCCCTCCCCTAACACACAGACAGACACAGATTTGAAAGAAAAAAAGCAAATGCGTTGTTGTTAGGGGAAGGGGAGGTTTTCTTCCCTCCACAACATCCCCGTTACAGAAGGGAGGTGACTGGTGAGTAGAAAAGGAAGGAGTTGGGGGCGCACACCCCACTCTGTACAATATAGAAGAATCTGATATAGACACTTTGTATAAAAGCCACTTGTCCTCATCGGTGTCCTCTCGCCGGCCCGCCGGGCAGGGTAAGGGGGGGGGAGGTGGGGGGAACACAGACCTGGAGGCGGAGCTAGGACATACACACAGAAGCCCTATGACCCCCATCCCCTTGGGTCACTTGGGGTCCTTAGTGGGGGCATAGCACAGCTCCAGGGGTCTGGACACCTTCCAGAACTTCTCGTTCACCAACTCCAGGGTCAGTGAGCCATTCAGGGTCTGGGTATATGGAATAAACCAGAAAGAAAGTGGAAAGAAGGGGAAGAAAAATTGGTATCAGTAGGGAGGGAAGAAAAAAAAAGGAACAGAAGAGAGATATGAAGAAAAATATCCAAGTATGAAAAGAGAAGAGGGAGAGGGATAGGGACAGGAGAAAAGTAAGAATAGAAGACGAAAGTAATGGGAGATAAATGGAAGGACAAGGAGAAAAATGGGAGAGAACAGTATATAGAAAAACTGATTAGTGACAGAGTGAATGGAGCATGTTTTATCTTAAACTTTTCTCTCCTCCCCAACACCTCCCCAACAATCATTCCCTTCCATCCTCTCACCGTGAAAGCTCCTCCCCCAGGTGCGATGTAGATGGTATACTGCTTCTCACTGACACCCTCCAGGCTAGGCAAGGCTGGCTCCTCTGGCCCATCGGTTCCTCCAGTTCCTGGTGCCTCCCCCCCACCTCCCTCAGGTCCTCCAGCTTCTGGGACTCCTCCACCTGGTGCCCCAGGTTCCCCAGCCTCTTGTTGCTGCCTCCGCTCAAGTGCAATCCTTAGAGCCAAGTACTTGGAAAGGTGGTCAACTGTGGCATTTCCCGTTGTCTTCACATATCTGAGGAATTGTAGCAAATGATCAGTGAAAAAAGCAAAGGGCTGAAGTTGTAAACATGATATACTGAATCCCACTCATGGGGTTTTCCAGGAGTGTCTTTTTCTGTTTATAGAGTTTGGAGGTGACCATGATTTTGCATTAGGTATGTTTCTGAGTTTGGGGGAGTCAAAATGCTGGATAGAAACATTGTTTCAGTTATGGGAGGGAAGCCCTGTGACTTTGAGGTACCCCACTTGGTCCCTAATTCCCCAGTTTTTAGACAGTTGCTGGAGGGGTGGGAATCTTCTCACCTAGTCTGACTGTATTCTCCTTTTTCGACCAGCAGAGGATGAGGCCGGAACACAAGCTCGATCTCTCCTCCAGGCTCAGGAGGACTGGGGGCCCCAGGTGGGCTTGGTGGACCCAGGGTCCCCCCACCCAGGGGGGCACCCCGGTCCCCAGAATCCTCAGAGCCTGCTCCCCCTCCTATACCTCCAGCAGCCCCTCCCCCTGTCCCTCCACTGCTACTTCCCACAACTCCTGTTCGATGTCGCTTTGGGGCAGGTCCAGGAGTGGAGTCTGGGGCGGAGTCTGAGCTAACATCTTCCCCATCCCCATCTCCCTCTCCCTCACCAGGCTCTCCCTCCCCACCACTCATTGTTGTTGTCTGGTCTGACTCTGGCATTGGCCTCCTTACACGCTGGGCCCTGTAGAGGCAAAGAACACCAGTTAGGAAATCAGTTATGTAGGAAGGTTATGAAGTAGGAGGTCAGATGTTAGGAGATCAGAGAATCAGAAAGTGAGAATCATAAATTTTTGCCTATTACATGTCCAGAAACCTTCCAGAATTCAGTGCCTAGCACTTCAGTTTGACCACACTCATACCTGTGCATCGCCTGCATTCGGAGCCCCTCCTCAATGCTGGAGCTCAGTGCTTGCTGGTTGTGCAGACGGCTTAAGCGGATGAGGACACGATCCTGATGTGCCTCATATTCTTCTCGACTTGGGTAAATTTTGGAGATCAGTGCATCAAAATTTGGATCAGGCCGAAGAGACCGCTTTGACACCAGCTTCTTCCTACAAGTGGGGCACTCTTTGTTCCTGAGTTGAGTTAGAGGAAAGAAACCACTTAAAATATTAACTGATAATTGGGAGTCTTAGTTTCCCTCACTAAAAAGGGATCATTTAGGATCTAGGAGTTCATCCATGGGGATATAAGATCTCCACAAATGGAAGAGGCATGGAATCTCTCCCCCACATTCCCCAGCGTAGTACATATGTCTCCTGATACCCGCTACGCAGCGCAGTGACAATGCAGTCAGAGCAGAAGCGATGGAGACACTCCTTTGTGGTCATGGTATTCTTCAGCATGTCCAGACAGATTGGACACATGAGCTCTGAATGTAGGGATCGTGGGGAAACAGCAATCTCTGTGCCATCCATGATGGCCTCCTGCAGAAGGGGAGAGAATGACACGCAGGGAGGGGTGAGATGGATAGTGAGACCAGAGTTGATAAGCATAGTAAAGATACAATCTTTGAGTCTCCTAGGAGGGTGGGAATTTGGGTACAGGCAAGATGGGGGATTCACAGGAGATAGTATACATTTCAGGGATGGGGGTGCGTGGCAGAGCTGTCCGTGGGTGGGGATCCCCGCCTCCTCACCTGTGGGGTCCGATGCAGCTCATAGAGACTTAGTTCCCACGTTTTGCTGGCGCTCTGTGCATTCGCTGGGGTCGCCATGGTAACAAGGAGTCGACCACCACCCCCGAGATCCGGGGGCAGACAGAGCCACTAAGGAGCAGTCGAAGGAATCCCTGGGGGTGGGGATGGGAATGGGGGGGAGTGAGAGTCCACCCCGCCTCGCCCCGCCCCTTCTGCACGCGCCCCAGTCCCCGAGGCCCCGCCCCCTTACGTTTCCTTCCCCTCCCCCTCCCCTCCTCCTTTCCCTCACCCCGCCCCCCAGCCCCGGGCCCTCTTCTCGGGCTCGCCCTGCCGCCAGCGTCCCACTCCATCCCTGTGCCCCAGCGCCGTGTACCTCCCGGGTCAAGCTCACTCAGTCCCCGGTCCCTCCCACTCAGGACCCCGGTCCCGGCGCCGCCGGCGCCGCCGCTCCCGCCGCCGCTCCCGCCGCCGCCATGGCTGGGGCGCTCGGGCCCTTGCGTCACTTCCGCCTCCCCATTCCCTCCCCTGTGTGACTCAGAAGGATGGTTACGTCACCGGGCTGCTCGGAACGCGGGTGGAACGTGGAACGAAGGGGGTGCCCCCCTCTTTTGCACACGTGACACACCCTCTCCACGTGTGGGGACGGGCTAGCGTGGTGCTCTCTGCTCCACGTGGGGCTCCTTCCCGCAGCTCCACGCGGGATGGAGACAGGACAGGACGGGACGCGCCTCCACCGGCTTCCTACACTTAAATGTATTGGGGATAGAGGCACGCTCTTCCCCGTGAGGCCTCTTCCTGTCGGAGTGGGCTGGAGATGGGACATCACTTGCCTCCCGTGGGAAGAAAGCGGAGTGGCCTCGGGCTGTCTTACACAGGGGACGAGAATTAGAAGGGCCGCCCGCCCCAAGCCCCCAGCCCTTCTGTGGCTCCCAGCATCCCACCCCCATCGCCTCCACTCCCTGCACCCAGAGTTCAGGCGCCCCCGGGCCCTTGGGCACGCCACGGAGTCCTCCCTCCCACCCCACTCGCTCCGCCTTAGGGATTCCTCTCTTCTGTGTCAGGCGCCCCGGAGTCCCCTTGGCCGCCCTCCTCTGCGAGGCGTGGGGGCCGCGGCTCGGGATGTCCAGACCCAACTCTCGAGGGCCGGAGCCACGAGAATTGCGTTTGGACAATCAGGAGCCGCGGCCCGGGCCGGGGCCCGAGGAGGAGGATGGGTACCCAGGGGATAGAGAGCCCCACCTGTGGAGGGCCGGAGAGAGCGGTGATTGGGGTAAGAGGACCGCCCCGCGGGGAATGGAATGACTGGGGATAAAGAGGGGAGTGGGTAGAGACCTGGACCTGTCTGGGGACAGGAAAGGGAGGGAGGTGATGGGGAGGTAAGGACAAGGAGGGGATCTCAGCTCTCAGAAGTAGTGGGAGCGGGAACACACAGGAGATGGAGAGGAGCCTGGACCCTCGCCCGAGCAGGTACACATGGACCAGAGACCAAGCTGGGGCCGAGTAGGGAAGATGGATGGGGACCGAGCAGGGAATCTTTGCGGAGGTGGGGGAGTTGTTTCTTCTTCCCCCACCCTGCCCCGGTAGACCACCCCTTTCCCCTCCCGGTCCTCCCTCCCTTCCGAGCCCCCCACTTTCCTGTCTTCTCCTTCCGTCCGTGGCCAGTCCTTAAGTGGGCTCCAGAGGCGATTCGCCCCCGGCCCCCTCCTCTTCCCTCCCCATTACCCCTCCTTTCTTTTCTCCCCCGGCCCCTCTTTCATCCCCTCCGGCCCCTTTCAGCGGCTGGCCCTCTCCCCTAATCCTGGCCACCTCCCCTAATCCCCCACCCCCCCACCCCGACCGGCTGCACTATTGTGAAGCATCGAGAAGGGAGGGTGGGAATAGAAGGGGGACTGAGAGAAAAAGGATGAAGGTTGAGGCACCTGTTCTACGTTGTGCCCCCCTTACCAATGCCAGAGTCAAGAGTATGGCCGTGTGGATGCCCTCTCCCCCTCCCTTTTGCGGGACACAGGGATGGGAAAAGTTAGGGGGATTTTGGGGATGTGGGGCACTGTCTACAGGGGTGGGGCCAAGACCCAATCCTTCTGCCGGCACTGTATCCCACATTCTCTCCCTCTCACACCCGGCGGCGGGGGTTGCCCTGGGAAACGAGCCAGTGAATGGGAACAATCCCACCAGGAGAAGAAGGGGAGGAGGAAATGGGGAGGAGTCTGAAGGCCTGGACACAAGAAAGAGCCAGAGGTGGTAGGAAGATTTAGAATTTATTAGGGTCACAGACACCCTTTTCACATAACTTGTCTTCCCAATATACAGTAGCTGGTCCTCCACCCTCTATCTGAGTCGTCCTTTGCCTAGCCATGCTGCTGCTTGGGGGAAGAGATGAGTTCAGTGTCCTGGGACCCTGTGGGAGTTACATGAAGAGACCTCCTGGGAGGGTCAGAAACACAGAGAAACAGAAACAGAGGGAGACAGAAAAAGAAAAGAGTTTGGAAAAGGGATTTCTCTAAGCTTCCACATCATTCCCACTTCTTCAAGACTTCCCCAATCCCCCAAGATTTGTTTCAGAGGTTTCCATTAACTCCTCCCTTATTGGGTCCTGTTTCCAATTCTCTTTTAATCATACCAGTGACCTCCAGAGTGGTCCCTGTGATGTATCCACTGTCATCTGATGCCAGAAATGCCACTACATCTGCCACATCTGGGGAAAGGGTTCAGAAGTCTCATCACTGTTGCCCCTTGGATCTCAGGAATGATTCCCCCCCCCCAAAAATAACCAAGGCAAGGAGCATATAATAACATAACTCCCAACTCTAAGGACATCACCTCACAAACACCCTAGGCCTTGTGCCCAAGGGCATCTTTCAGTCTTTACTTACCTAAACCCCAATTTCTATCTCCCCTTTCCACTCAGTGTTTCCCTTTTCATATTTTCTCCCTTTTCTTTACCCTTGTTTCTCACCCTCAGGAACCCCCAGATGGCCCATCGGAATTTGTGTAATTATCTGAAAGTAGATACAATGGGAATGGAAAGATTTTTATGGAGAAGTGGTTTCTTTGGCCTGGGCTTCTTGTCCAGAATTTTCTCTATGATAGGGTTTGATGGGTAGTGAGGGAGGGTTTAGGTGACCCCTACCCGGTCCAATACTTTCTGTGGTACTTTCTTTGTCATGGGTGTTATGATGAATCCTGGAAGGATGGAGTTACATCGGATTCCATGTCTGTAAGGAGGGAGAATTATCACTAACCCCTGATAATTGCCAGTTCCCCATTCTGACCCTAGTGATTGCCAGGCTGGATATCAATCTAGCTACTATTTTAGCTGATCAGGGATCAAGCATATCCAGGAGGCTAGTTACTTTACTGCTGTAAAAAGCAACCAGCTTAATGATCCCTCTCATCTCCCAGGCTGACCTTCCAAGTTCTCGGGCCACATTTCGGGTCATTCCTTCCACTCCAGCTTTGGATGCTGCATAGTTTGTCTGCCCCAGGTTCCCTACCTGTGGATGAGTCATGGTTAGAGATCACAAGGAAAGTATCCCTCTCCTCCCTTTTGCCTTTTCCCAGGCTGACCTTTCCTACGATACTGCTGATGTTAATGATGGAGCCACCACTGCCACTGGATACCAGAGCTCTAGCTGCAGCCTGAGTGACCAAAAAGGTGCCCTGAAAATGAAGGGAAAGGATGGCAAAGGTGGTGGGTGGTCACAGCACTTCTCTTACTTTGGGAACCTCCTCCCATTCCCTTCTAGGCAGGTAAATCAGGTCAGGGTCAGGATGACCATGGGACATGAAAGGTTCATCGGTCAAGACCTTGAGGTTGACAGCAATGACTTCATCCCAGTAATCCTCAGGCATTCGAAGCAAAAACTCATCCCGAGTGATCCCGGCACAAGAGACCACCACTGATGGTGGGCGCGAGAAGCAGGCCTGGGAGAGGCAGGAAGGGCACGAGGTTACTGGCAGAAAAGCACAAAAACAGACTGCGAGAAATAGACACGCAATAGCAATTGCTTCTCCCTTTCCCACGCATGGGCTGTGCAAACTCACTCTCACCTGGATTTGCTCTATCAGCGCCTGCACTGCCCCTGCCTGGGCCACATCCGCCTGGAAAGCAGCGTGACACCCTGGGCCAGCCCCAGCGTCACGCCCTGTCCCCACCAGAAGCCGTATAGTTTCCTCGGCCGCTGCCCCATCCCGGTCACTTGCAGCCACGAGAGCCCCTTCCCTGGCCAGGCGCAGGCTGACTGCCTGGCCGATGCCACTGCCTGCACCTAGGAAATGGGGGGGGAGGAAGTAGTACAAACGCCGGTCCTGGGATGCGGGCCAAGGCAAAAGGGTGGACACAGGCGTCGGGGGGGAGGGTAGATCCGGGAACGCTCTAGGACCCAACACTGGGCACTTCAACCTTGGAGCCAGAGCCAAGGAGGGCAGGGGAATATGGGCACCAGAACACCTCCCTCGCACGACCCTCGAGTGACGTCACCGTGCCCGAATAAGGGCTTCCCTTTTAGTGGGGAAGGCAGGGGGCGAGGAGTGCGGTAGGGTTCCCTAACCTGTGACCAGAGCGAGCACGGAACGCAGCTTGGCCGCCATAGTAAAGAGAACTTCGGCCCCAAACCAATGGGAATAGAAAGGGCGGGGCTGAGAACTTGGAGCCAATCAGAAGAGAATGGATGCGCATTAGCTCTACGGAGTACAAGCCCCAGGGAAGAAGAGACACTTCTCCCAGGACGAGAGGCTGGGGAGCACATGCGCCCCCTTTTCCCCGAAATTAAGACAAGAGACCAGATGGGGTGAAAGAGCCGGTGCCTTTATTTCCGGTCACCACCCTTCCCCAACCCCCGCCCCCCCATCGATATAAAAAAAGCAAAAAACTAAACAGGTATAAGATCAATACCAAGTCCACCCCCACCTCCCAATCACTGCACACGATTTACCTAAATCCTGACTCCTCCCCTCCACCCCCTCGGTCTAGGGCTCAGGCCTTTGAGAAAGGCACACCCTCGTCAAGAGGAAAGATGGGAGGAGCAGCTGGGGGCAGCTTGGTCCCTTGAGAACAGGTATGGGGGACACAGGTGATAGGCATCCCTATTCTGTGGCTCCCTCTTCCTTTCTTCTTGGGTCTGGCCCTTCTACCATGGCCACATTTAGCCATGCCACCTAAAACCCAACTCCACTGTCAGTCAATTCTCAATACTACAGCCATTCTAGAGTCTCATTCTCAAGTCTACTGCTCCCTGAGACCTTCAGGCCTATAGGGCCAACCCAAGTTCATTGCCCCTCTAGACGTTTACCTTTCTGGTACTTGGCTGCTCCTCCCTTTGGTTTGTGGACCCCATCCAAGTCAAACTGCCCTCCAAGGTTTAGGGGGAGGGGTCTCCCACCTCTCATTCGAGGTAGGCAATCAGCACCATCATAGCAACTCCACCCAACAGCCCCAGAACCTCCAGCAAGGACTGCAGGGGAGAAGCCTCCCTCAGCAGCTCAGGCAATACAGACACAGTTGCCACATAGATGAAACCACCAGCTGTAAAGGGGAGGACCCAACCTGGGCCGCCACTACTACCAGCAGCACTGTTTCCCTGGGACCCTCCTTCAGCCAAGAGTGCACAGGTTGTGCCTGCTAGGGCCCCCAGTGCTGTCAGCAGTTGAAGACGCATCGCCTGAAGTGAGGGTAGGGGATTTGGGGAAGAGAAAGAAAAAGAAACTTTCAAAATCATCCCTGGTGAGAAGGCTTGTAGTATAAAGGCAAGAAAAGGAACTTGGAATGTTTTAGTTTGTTTTTCACAGTCTAGAGTCTAAAGAAGTCAAAAGGTAGAAACAATTTGTATACCAGAGAAAGACAGAGAAAGTACGGAGACTACTGCTTGAAATAACAGAGAGAAACAAAGAATACAGGGAAGCTAATTTCTCAGGATTTTAGGGAGGTGATGTGGGGGGATGGGGTCAGAGGCAGTGGCAAGGAATGAAGAATGACAGAATGAAGGAATTCCTCCAGGGGCACCTGGGAGGAATAGATGCCTATGGAATGTTCCTGATTCCTCCAATTACTGACCTGCCTCTTGCTGCAGCCAGACTGCACAAGGATGGCAAAATCCCCAACTTCATGGGGCACTTCATGTAGCAAGACAGTCAATGTGGTCAAGATCCCTAGTCCACGGCCCCCTCGGAAAGAGGCCCCAATTGCTAGACCATCGGTGAAGTTGTGAGCCAAGTCAGCAGCTAGGTTCAGGTATCCAGACACACGCATGTCTGGACAGGAGAAGCAAGGAAGGCGAACTGAGTAAGATACTCCAAACTTTCTCAGCCACTTCTATAGCTACAACGTTCACCCTGAAATGACCTTTAGATAAACAATATCTAAGCGCAGCGACCAAACTAACAGTAAACAGTGGCTCATGAAAATACCACCCCTCCCCAAAACTGTCTCCAAACTCCTTTCAGAATGTTTCAAGCACCATCGCTGGTCCCTCACCTGAGCCCCCTTTCTCCTCTTCAGATTTAAGCTGTTTCACTGCACCATCACTGGGTTCTTTGCCTGCTCCTCTTCTCCTCCTTGCCCCTCCAATTTCTTTCTCTTTCTCTTCCTCATCTGAGCTCTGTTTTTCCTTTGAGGATTCTGAGGAAAGAAAAGAGTGATCAGAATGAAGAAGAAATCTCCCCAATTCATTTACAGACAGATTCAACCCTAAGTCTGGAAGATTCCTAGATATCCACCACCTCCCTGAGATCCCAAGGCAAGAGAATGCATTGCAAGGGAAGGAGGCATTTCTAAATCTTACCACATTGGCCATGCTCGTGTCCATGTCCATGTCCATGTCCATGTCCCCCCTTCACATGTGTCACAAATTTCTCCACCACAAGAAAGGCAACAATTCCACCGAGAACCCAGAGCCCAACAGAAAGAATGGGGCCCTGGTCTGAGGGCAGGGAGACAGAAGGAGGATACTAAGATAGAAAAATAGTACACTGATTCCCCTCCAAATCCTCTGGCATAAAGTTGGGGAAAGTGGGGGAGATGGTCAAATACCCTCCCCCCTACCTCAGACCCAGACTTTGCCCCATTCCTCCCCCCATTCCCTCCTCACGGCTATGGGAGTGTCCATGTCCTGGCCTTTCCTCAAGTTGAGATTCTACATCCCCATGATGAGAATGAGGTTCTGAGGAAAGAAGGTCAGAAACATCAAGCATATGATATAAATATCACAGCTAATAAGGAGACTCAAAGTGTGAGGCAGAGTAAGATTGAAAGGAAATGAAGGTTAGAGGTCAGAGATCACTCACCCAGTGCATGAGGTATGAGATGCAAGAAGGCATCTCCCAGAAGGCCCCCTGAGGCAAAGCTGAGCAGGATTTGCAGGAGTGATCGGTGCTGGGGGGAATTGGATTCCACAGGCACAAGGAATAGGATGAAAAATGGTGCCGCTGAGATCAGCACTGTTGCCCCCAAAGCCTAATAAGTATAAATTTGGGGTTAAGGAAATAAGTCATGGGTGTGAGCTAATTACTACATAAGGGTAAGATCCCATACCCCACAACCCCTTCCACTATACCCACTATTCTCTGGAAACTCACATATGCCCAAAGACTGAATGTGTCCAAGTCCTGCCCACTGCCTAGAACCTCAGAATCCCCAATGCCTTTAGGGCTTTGTCCATATTCATGAGCATGGCTGTGTCCATGGTCATGAGTGTGATCTCTGTGTCCATTTCCTTCACGTGAATGTCTACTGTGCAAAGGGTCAGACTCATAATAAAAGTTTTCATGTGTGTGGCCATGGTGTCCTGGTGCATGGCTGTGACCATGATGGAAATCATCATGCAAATGTCCACGGCCATGATGCTGGAAATCTTCATGGGAGTGCCCATGGCCAGGATGGTGGAAATCCTCATGTGAGTGCCCATGGTCATGCCGGTGGAAATCCTTGTGTGAGTGCCCATGGCCAGAATGATGGAAATCTTCATGCATATCTTCATGCAGGTCTGTGCGGCCCCCAAGTCCTGACACCAGCAGCTCTAAGGCAACCCAAGTCACCAACCCCACAGCTGCCCAGCATCTGGCCCCTGGGACTCCGTGGGCCATCGCGAATATCTAGAAAGAAAAGAGAGAGTGACCCTTCCGGGTCCATCCAGCGGGTCTATTCCCCAGTGTGGTTGCTTTTCTGTAGCGGTCTGTAGTCTTTCAGACTCCTCCACCCCCGCCCCCTCCCTGGGCTCTCTGGTCCCCGGTAAAGTCTCGCTAGTCTTCAGGAATTCCAGTTTAATGTTCCCTCTGGGCCACCGTCTCTACGGCACCCGGAGAGGATAAGGAGACTGTGAATGCAAAGGGAGGCTGCGGTCTCACCGGCTCTGGGGTCTTCTTTCTCTCCGCTTCACACAGTCGGACGTGGCACTCCCGCGTTCCCCGCTCCCGCGAGAAGAGGAAGTTCCACCCTTTCTCCGCCCCTTTCCTTCACCCGGACAGCGGTTCTCACAGCTGCAGCTAGGGGAAATTTGTCCCTTGGTACGCATGCGTATACGAAGGCAGTGGGCCAGCCGGAAAGAACGGAACGGCCTCCTCCACCTTGGTGAAGGGCGGAAGCTAACCCAGAGGCTTCCTGTTCTTAGCTAGCTGGCTGTCGCCACTGTGCTGCCATTTTGGTATAGGGCAAAGTGAAGTACCTTGTTCCGCCAGATCTGGCGCCCCATTCCAAGACCCTGGCAGTATCCGTCCTTCTCTCCCGACCCCAGAGTTCTGTAGGTATCGTCCCCCAAGTCCTTCCACA